GGCGTGCTTCCCGGACTACTGGTGGACGTGCACGCTTGCCTTCGGCGTCCCCTTCGCCTACATCGCAATCCAGAACATATACATCGATCACGATGTGATGCACGGAGCCACGTTCCCTCCACACGACTGGCAAGAGTACATCACGCATCCCTTCAGCGATTTCTTCTCGCTGCCCTGGAAGGAGTTCGTGCTCGAGCACAATCGCCACCACGCGAGCACCGTGGACCTCCTGCAGCAGGGCGAGTTCGGGTGGGATCCCGAGGAGTTCCAGTACTGGCTGCTGGAGTGGACATGGAGGCACGGGAAGTACCCCTTCCCCATCCACCCCTTCGGCCTCTTGCTCACCGGCGCGCTGCTGCCGTTCATCCACTTCGTGGGCCTGAACGACACCGGGGCCCTCTTCGCGCTGGAGTGGTACTTCCACTTCCCCGACGAGGGTGCCGGGGGCAAGTGCAACAAGGAGTTCTGGAAGAAGTGGCTGCCGCGCCGAGCTCAGCACTCGCTCTTCGTCGCGAGCCTCTGGGCGTGCGTCTGGCTCCTGGGCACCTGGCCGCTGGGCCGCCCGCTCAGCGAGGGCTGGCGCTTCATGCTCACCGTGTCCTTCTTCGCGCGCTGCGGCTTCTCGGCCGCGTGGATGTTCATCACCAACTTCACCCACTCCCACCCGTGGAACCACTTCCTGGCGAAGGACCCGGAGCGGCAGTGGCCCGTGCTGCACGACGTCATGGCCTTCGTGCTGGGCGGCAAGCACCGCTGGAACGAGATGCTCTTCCACGACCTCCACCACGCTTTCCCCAACGCGGTGGGCACGCTGAGCCAGCGCGGTCGCTTCCACGGGTGGCAGAAGGTCCACGACGCCTCCGTCGAGGTGTTGGCCCGTGGTCTCTGGAAGGCCAACGGTGACGAGGAGACAGAGATGCAGAAGACGCAGCGCAAGCGGTCCCTGCTGATGAAGACCAACAGGAAGTGAGGCGCGCCACTCTTCCGACCCGGAGGCGCGTGCAGCCTCGGGGTCTCTAATTCGGGGAGCTGCCCGGCGCACACGTCGCAGTCCTGACGCAGCGCCCGGCGGCTGGCCTCGTCGGCTTCCCCCCGCTTTTCACACGTTGCCCAAGCGTGGTGTGTTTTTTGTTCCAGTGAGTGCCGCCTGAGGCAGTTGGGTCCTCCTGGATATAATGTGTGCTCTCCGTGTGTCTCCACGTAATGTTTAGCTCGTGAGTGCATCGTGTGTCGAGGGGACCGCCAGATCTCCTACGACCCTTTGCTGACCTGGATCGCACAGTGCCCGCCCCGAGTACCATCGCGTGTACGTTCGTCGACCTCGACATTCCGAGGGGGGAAATGTCTTACAGAGGCCTTTTGGCTGGTTCCGCCGACTCTGAGAAGTGACAAGCTTGAGCACAAAAGGCGAAAACGAGCCGCGTGCAATGGCCGCGGGCAAGGGGCAGCGGCGGCTTTGATGCGAGGGCAAAAATCTGATGGTCCTCGGCCCATCCAGCCATTGCGCCTGCGTCGTGTTCCAAAGAATTCGGGCACTGTTCGGGGTTTCTTGGAGGGCTCCTGGGGGCTTCTGTGGACCACTTGGATGCGAGTGAGGCCTCGTGTGGGCCTCTTGGGGAGATTCGGATCCTGCTGGAGGGGTTGGCTTCCAGCGGTGGCGACAGTGGCGCGCTTCTTGGGGCCTGGGGCCTCCTTGGGGGCCTCCTGGGCCCCGCTTGGGGGGCATCTTGGGCCCCTCTTGGGGGTTCTTGGGCTGTCTTGGACGCTCTTCCGACCGATGCGGTGAGAGTGCATGAGTCACACAAAGCCTAAGGCATTCAGCCGATGTGGGTCTCTTGGGCCAGCCCCCCACCCCCCCTGGCGCGGGGAAGGGACCAAAGGGAAGGGGCTTCCCTTGTGACCTGGGTCGGTTCACCTCGGGCTGGCGAGCTCGGCGAGCTCCAGGTGGCCGCAGGGAAGGGGGGGTTCGCAGGATCAGCGTCACCCGGGACCTTAGTGGGCCCCGGAAACGGCAGGGCTGTTTTTTCACCGTTTCCGAAAAAGTGTCCCTTGGAAATGGAAACGGCAAAACAACGGCGACCGGAAACGGTAACAAAAACAGCTCCAGGATTGAAACCCGAGCGGGAACCCGTAGAAGAACGGCGAAGGAACCGGTAAAAAAACGGCGTCGACACCGGCAAAAAAAAACGGCAAAACGGAACCGGTCAAAAACGGCGTTGTCGTTTCCAGGGCCCACGGGACCACCCCAGAACTCCCCCGCACGCGCCGACAAGGTCCGCGGGTTAGAATTGGCAAGCTCGTTCTCCACGGGCTTCACCTGGCTGCGACGTGCGGCGCTTCCCTCGGCGGGATAGAGAAGGCCATGCAGCAGCACGTGATGCGTATCATCATCAGGGCCCAGGGGTCCGTAACATGCGACGCTCCTCTTCCCGCGGCCACGAGGCGTCGTAATATGCAACAAGTCGCTTCTCGAGTGGAGGGAAGGCCTCACCATGAGACCGACCGAGCGACGCAACACAACGGGGGCGTTTGCGCCTACATTGACGCGTGAGCTCCCCGCGTAAGCTCGCGCATAAGCGCCCTCGTCTTCAGTGTGGCGGGCCGCCGCGCTGGTGGCCCTCGTAAGCCTCCGCGTGAGGTCGTCGTGCCATCTCGCGCAATACCCGTGTTTGATCGGCGCTCAGTTGAGATTCTTCCCCATAGCCCAGAGGGCGGCAGCAAATGCCGTCGAGGGTGTGGGGCGCCCTAGGCGCTTGCCGGCCACGTGCAGAGGGGGGTGGGGGGAGGGGGGGGGGCTTCTTAGAAGCACCCCTGCTTCTTAGAAGGCGCGGGTCTTATCTATAGATGCAGGGCCGTCGCCTTCTGAGAAGCAGCTTCCTTCTAAGAAGCCTCCCCCCCTCCCCCCAGCCCCTTGTGAGCACCGCCAAGCCTGCTGCAGAGCCTTGAAGCTGCCTTGGGCCGGTCTGGAGCCATCGTGCAGTGGCCTCGGGGCGGCCTCGGGCCTGCCAGGGTTGCCTCGGCGGGTCTTCGCGCCGTCTCGGAGCCGCCCGGAAGCCGCCTGGGTTGAGTCGGGCGTGTCCCTCTCCACAGGAGGAATATTCAAAAATATTAAAAAGATAATCTGGGGACGAGTTTGGGATTGTTTGCTGTTTATGTTTGGACATGTTGGGGGTGTGTCTGATTGGTCGTCCAGAACCTCCCCGTAGGGGGACATACCCGACCTAACGCCTGGCTCCTTCCACACAGGGGCCTCTCTTGGAGCCTGTTGGTGCGGTCGGTCCCTGTCGCGTCGGCGCGGCGGCGACCCTGCCGCGGGCGCTCGAGGTTGAACGCCGCCGGTGGCCCAGAGCCAGCCACTGTGGAATCAATCGGCGATCGAAAAGCCGCCGATCGTGCAAGGCTGAGCGACCCGCGCTGCGTCGGAGACCATCGCCGAAGTCGTCACGGCTCGGACCCACCGCAGGTTCTCGTGGCGTCTTGTGACGTCGAATGGTCAAGGGCAGCGTGAGACGAGTGCCTTGTTGAAGGAGGCACAGCGCAGGCTCGTTCTCTCTTGCGAGCCTCTTGGGCCTCGGGAGAGCCTCTTCGTGTCCGTTGAGCGCCCCTCGGGGTCTAAGCTGAGGCCTGTAGGGGCAAGTTGGGGGCTCCGTTGGGGCATCTGGGTCTGTCCTGGAGGAGGTGTGCTGGGCCCCCGCGGAAGTGCCTTAGCCTTCCTGGGGGCATCTTGGCCTGTCCTGGGGTCGTCCAGAACGGCGGGATGGAGAAGGCGGTACAGTCAACCCGCATAGTAAGGATGAGTGATTTTCCAAGGTTGCCCCTGCACCCTTACCATTCGGCGCATCCATGGCCGCTTTCGCTGGCCGCGCCCCGCTCGCAAAGCTTCAATATAACCTTCCAGGGCTCATGCCTCCTCCCGAAGGAGAAAACACTGCATAAACATAAAATGTTGGCGCTCCGCCCAGATTTCTTGGATCTGCGCTGGACCCCCCTAGCGGCACCTCCGGCGCCGCCCTTGGCGCGCTCCGCGCGCCGCTGCTACTGCTGTTGCTGCTGCTGCTGTTGCTGCTGCTGCTGCGGCTGCTGCTGTTGCTGCTGCTGCTGCTGCTCCTCGTCCTCTGCAAGAGCCAGCCCCTGCCGCAGCTCCCCTCGCCCCCTCCCTCGAGCCTCCTCCTGGCTGCTGGCCCCCCCTCCTCACCATCCTCCTCGTCCCTTCTTTTCTCTTAGGCGTATGATGTTCCTACCTCCTTAGCCTTGATCACCAGAAAGAGTGTCGAGCACCAAGACAGGACCGAAGCTGGAGGGTTTTCGCGTGTCGGGCCCTGGGAGGCGATACAGCCAAGACGCTGAAATAAGGAACGCCTCGGGTGCGGAAGGGGCTCACTGTTCCTCAAGCTCTTCCATGGCTCCTCCTCCAGCACTCCTCGTGAACCTAGGCGCTTCTGGGGCCAAGAAGGGGCTTCGTTCCTTATTTAGCGTTCCTTCTGATAGCACCTCGACTGAACTCATGCGACGCCGTTTCGATACTCTCCTGGGTGCTCGAGCTTGTGTTTGGGATGCGGCCCTCGAGTGCGATGGAGCAACACGATCCTGGGCAAGCTGTTGGGCCAGGAGGGCCCGAGGCGTCAGCCTCGTCCCTCCTTTCCCTCCTGCTGCGCCTCCTCGTCGGCTCCCCGCAGAGAGAGGAAGAGAGAACGAGAGGGGGAGAGAGCGAGAGAGAACGAGAGGGGGAGAGAGCGAGAGAGAGAGAGAGAGAGAGAGATGCATCGAGAGATAGAGAGAGAGAGAGAGAGAGAGAACGAGAGGGGGAGAGAGAGAGAGAGAGAGAAAACAAACAAAAAAACACAAGAGAACGAGAGGGATAGAGAGAGAGAGAGAGAGAGAGCGCGGGGCATGAGAGGTGCGAGGGAAGGAGAGGCTGGAGCGGAAGGGCGGGGGGGAGGGGGCGAAGGGGGCAGGCAGGAGGGGCGAAGAGGGAGGGCCCCCGCCGCCCGCCCCCCCAGGCATACTACCGATCGTGGGAGGGCGCCACCGCCACGTTCCACGTGATGGAGGGGCCTGGCCGTGGGAGGGGGAGGAGGAGGAGGGGGAGGAGGAAGGGGAGGAGGGAGGGGGAGGGGGAGGAGGGGGGGAGGAGGGAGGGGGAGGAGGAGGAGGAGGAGGAGGAGGAGGAGGAGGAGGAGGAGGAGGAGGAGGAGGAGGAGGAGGAGGAGGAGGAGGAGGAGGAGGAGGAGGAGGAGGAGGAGGAGGAGGAGGAGGAGGAGGAGGAGGAGGAGGAGGAGGAGGAGGAGGAGGAGGAGGAGGAGGAGGAGGAGGAGGAGGAGGAGGAGGAGGAGGAGGAGGAGGAGGAGGAAGGAGGAGGAGGAGGAGGGCGGGGGGCCGACCAAAAAACAGTCGTAGGGAAACAAAAAATTACATAATTATGAAAACTCGGAGGTCCACCCCATGTTGCGCGACAACCCATCGGGCGCCGCAGCGTACATCACGCAAGAGCCCGCCCGAGATGTCCTGCTATACGCCAAGCCCCCTGGGGCCGTAGGTGGGGTGGTGTCGTTTGTTTTCTGGTGCAGGGGGGGGCTGGTCGGTCGGACGCAGCGCGATTCGCAGTCGAATGTGAAGGCGAAGCTGGCAAGATGGAGCGCGCTCCACGCGGCACGGCCTGGAATCCAGCGCTCGGAAGGCCGCAGCGCTCGTCGTGTGTGGGGGTGCGGAAGGACGAAAGGGGGGGAAAAGGTGGGACGGAGGGGAGGTAGAGAGGGAAGAGAGGGAAGAGAGGAGAGGTAGAGAGGGAAGAGAGGGAAGAGAGGGAGAGGGGACGGAGGGGAGGTAGAGAGGGAAGAGAGGAGGGAGGGAGGGCGACGCGAAGGGGAAGGGGAAGAGAGAGAGAGAGAGAGAGGCACAAGGGAAGGAGGAAGAGACGCTGCGGAAGGGGAAAAGAGGGAGGGCCGCAGGGGAAGGGGACGAGGGGAGGCAGAGAGGGGCGCAGGGTATGGGGAAGAGAGAGAAGGAGGGAGGGCGACCGGGGAGCAGAGGATGGGAGGGGAAGGTTTGGCGGGGGAAAGGGGTGGGGAGGGAGGACTGGGGGGAATAGGGGAACAAAAAGTGACATAAACAGAACAACTCGGAGGTCCGCGCGGATTTCTCGGATCGGCGCTGGGGACCCCTGGCGACGCCTCCGGCGCCGCCCCTGGCGCGCTCCGCGCGCCAGTGAGGGGGGTCCAGCGCGGATCCGAGAAATCCGCGCGGACCTCCGAGTTTTTCCCTACCTAGGCTCTGCCTAGAAGGGTTCTTACTCTCTAGCTTAAAGGGGCCGGGCAGTGGAAAGCGCCCCGGGCGGTTCCCCCAGTCCCCTGGAGCGGTTCCCCCCAGTCCCCTGGGAGCTTTAGCTTTAGCTTTAGCTTTAGCTTAGCTTTAGCTTAGCTTTAGCTTAGCTTTAGCTTAGCTTTAGCTTAGCTTTAGCTTAGCGCTTTTAGCTTAGCTTTAGCTTAGCTTTAGCTTAGCTTAGCTTAGCTTGAGCTTAGCTTGAGCTTAGCTTAGCTTGCTTAGCTTTAGCTTAGCTTTAGCTTAGCTTTAGCTTAGCTAGCTTAGCTTTAGCTTAGCTAGCTTAGCTTTAGCTTAGCTTAGCTAGCTTAGCTTTAGCTTAGCTTTAGCTAGCTTTAGCTTAGCTAGCTTAGCTTAGCTAGCTTAGCTTTAGCTTAGCTTTAGCTTAGCTTTTTAGCTTAGCTTTAGCTTAGCTTTAGCTTAGCTTTAGCTTAGCTTAGCTTTAGCTTAGCTTTAGCTTAGCTTTAGCTTAGCTTTAGCTTAGCTTTAGCTTAGCTTTAGCTTAACGTTACTGTTACACTACTGCTGCTTTCCTAGGGGTTCCAACTCCTAGGTAGGGTCGCATTGGGATAATTATGTTTATGTAATTTTCTGTTCCCCTAGTTAGGCGGGGGAAATGGGTGGGGAGGGAGGACTGGGGGGAAGGAGTGGCGGTGAGAGAAGAAAGAGAGGAACGGCGAATGGCACAAGAAGAAGAAGAATGAGAAAAGAGAAGGCGAGAGAGGGAGAGAGAGCGAGGGCGAGGAAAAAGAGCGGGGAGGACACATGGCACCCACACACAGACGCGGACAGGAGTGAGCCCCACACCCGCGGATAGGAGTGAGACCCCACGCCGGGGCCCCCCCCACCCGCCCGCGTGCACCGAGCCGAGAGCACCGGAAGGACATCTGTTGCACTGCGCCGTGCTGCGCAGCCCCAGGGGCCCAGACGCCTTCCACAGGACCGGCGTTTCGCCCCGAGTCGTCTTTCCACGGCCCTCGGGTTATGATGTTCCAATCTACTTTAGCCTTTGTCACCAGAATGAATTTCGAGCACCCAGAAAACACCCCAAAAATCCCAGGTTTTCACGTGTCGGGCCCTGTCAGACACTCTTTCGACACTTTTCTGGGTGCTGGGATATAGTCCTTCAGTAGGATGGGAACAACATAACCCTCGGGCCCGGCAAGGGCCTTCGCCTTAAGAAGCTTCCGTCGTGATTGCTTCGCGCGACAGGGTACGTGTGCCGTTGGGCCTCGAGGCGACGCGCCTCCCCCCCCCGCCACCAAGACGCCGCGGGCACTGAGGTCCGACGTCACGAAGAAGCTGCGGCCTCGCAGGAAAAGCTCGACCTGCACCCTGAACTTACGCCGGGCGTGTCCCTCTGCAGGAGGAATATTCACAAGTTATTTTCAAAAAAAAATACTCTGGGGACGATTATTGGAGTATTGTTGGGTATGTTTTTGAATATGCTTTGATTATTTTCCGTGCAAAATCTGCCTGTCGTGGTTTCTTGGCGGTCTTCCGCCCTCGGGATGCTTGCCAGCAGCTGCGCCTCGCCGCGGGCATTCCGGGGGCGCCCGGATTTTCCCGAACGGCCGCCGGAGACCCGAGTTACGACCCAAACACCACATTCGGCGGCGATCGAGGGGGAAGGGGGGCGAGAAGGAGAAGGCATGTACCGAAGGCGGCGGGATTTCTCAGAATCCCTCGCGCCTTCTGAGAAGTGTTCTGTGTCTTCGGGGAAGCCTTAGAACACGTCTCAGAGTCTCAGGGAAGGACGGGGGACTTCCGAGCCTTCTGGGAAGGCCCGCCCCTCCTCAAGTCCCCCCGGGCTCGCCGCCGATACCAGAGCCCCCGAAACCTCAGAATATGGCGCGGCCAACCAGAACTTTAAAAGCTCCATCCCGAGAGCATGAGTCTAGGCCTCCTAGATGGGGTCCGAGTAGATGGGGTCGGAGGGTCGCGCCGTAGCGTCGATTCATCGGCGATGCGGCTGGATGCGGAGCCCGTCTTTCTCCACGCTGGCGTCGCCGGGGGGGCCCGAGCCGGCCCAGCGCGCGTGCGGCTGGAAGAGCGGCGGCGCGCGAGCAGAGCCCGCACACGCGGCTCCTGCGAACTGACAAGTGCCAAGCAGCAACGGATGTTGGCCTGGGGAGTATGGGGACGATTTTTTTTTCTTGGGACTATGATTGAATAGTTGTTGACAATTTCAGATTTTTCCTCCAAAATCCGCCTGTAGGGGGACATGCCCGACCTAACGCTACCACTCCATCGTTTTCCTCTTTTGGGCCCCCTGGGAGGCCCTCGTCGCCACCGCTGGATTCGCCCCGAAGTTCTGGTCAGAACGCTCCCCTGGAGAGGTCCGGGAGTAGCGGTAACAGTGCCTTTGGGCGCCCCACGAAAGACATTTTTGTCCCTGTGATTGGTTTCACTTTATCCCGATACCGATCACAAAGGCTCCCTCGGCTTCGGAGGGCGCATCCTTAAGAGTGTCATCGCCTTTGGGGCCTGTCAGCCTCACGGGTAGGAATGCGATCGAGGCTGGTCAAAAGGAGGATGTTATTAGGAGTTAGGGGAGATGAGTAGGATCTGGTCGGAAGGAAAGGGGGGACAGGGAACGGGGGTGTTAGGGAATATGTTGCATGCAGATGGATTCGCATCCGCCGCCGGGCAATTTCCTCAATCGTCGCATCCAGCGCCGGGTGGCGCCAGGAAGGTCAGATGCGTTGGCGGGTTCGCTAACCCTCCTTGTGCTTCTTTCTCCTCTCGTCCAACCCGATCGGAGAAGGAGAAAGGATGATGAGAAGGAGAGGCACACTGCGAAGGCGAGGATAAGGAACATGGAGAAGAGAAGGATGATGATGGGCAGATGGTGGATACGACCCATGAGAAGGCGAAGGGGGAATGAGAAGGAGACGAAGGTAGAGACAAAGGTGGAGACGATGGTGGAGAAGATGAAGGAACAGGAAAATGACTAGGAGGTCAGGGACAACGACAATGAGGAAAAGGATGACGGTACGAATCAGGCCCAGAATAATTCATGATAAGGAGCAAAACGAGGACAGGGAAGATGAGGAGGAGGGGGAGTGAAAGGGGTAGAGGGAAGGGGAGGATGAGGAGGGAGAGGAGGAGAGATAGGGTGGGTAGTAGGGAGGAGCAGGAGGAGGAACAACAGCAGCAGGAATTGCTTCTTCCATTCCGCCGCTTGCACGCCTTTTTTTGTGACGTCGACTCTGTAGTTACTCCTAGTGCCAGTGTTGGAAAGGTTCCTTCCGCTTTTTATTTCTCCTCTTTTTGGGGATTGGGGGAGGTGGGCGCTGATGGGGTCCAATTGCGGCGCGCTTCTTAGCCACCCGGGCGCGGCCGAGTTTTGACCTCAGAAAAACCGCGACGGCACCGACCCCCGTCAGCCACGCCACATTTGTGAGACGGCCCCGTGCTTTCAATGTAGTGTTTAAGTCGGGCACGTCCCTCTACAGGAGGAAAATTCAGAAATGGCCAAAAAATAGTATGGGAGCATTCTTCTGTTATTGTTTGGCTATGTGTGGGCATTGTTTGAGTATGTCTTATTTTTCGTCCAGAATCCGCTTGTAGTGGACCTGCCCGACCTAAATGTAGTGTCAGGTAAATGATGCCAGTGATGACCTACTGCGAAGTTGTCGTCCTCGCCTGCCCCCGCACCCTTCGCGTCCTCGTCTCCTCCGCTTCTCGTCTGTATTCTCCTTCTCTGTCTGGTTGATCGTCTTCTTCCCCTCCTCTTCCTGCCCATCGTTATCATCGTCACCGTCCTCATCCTCATCGTCTTCGTCGTCATCCTCGTCCTTTGTCGCCCTCCGTCGTCGTCGTCGTCGTCCTCTTCATCCTCACCGGCCTTCGTCGTTGTTGTTCGTCGTCGTCTTAGCCATTCCGTTCTGGGTCCTCATTTCTCCTATTTGCCGCGCCCTCACCATCGGGGGAGGCCGACATATTCGACGTGGCCAGCAGCCTGGTGTCTTTCAGCAAGAGCTCGAAGGCCCTCTCGGATTTCGGCGGCGCTACGTGTCTGAACTGTCCACCAGTTCACCGCGAGACTTGTTGAGACATTCTTGAATTTATCTCATCGTATGCACCGCGTGTGCATCGTGGTGAAGTATGACGATTTGTCTCTCTCAGGCGTTTGGCACTTGCCTCGTGGGTCTCATCGGTGCCTCGGTATCCACCCATCTGTTGTTTCGACACACCTCATGAGCACTGGGGGTCGTGCAGCATTGCCTCCCGTCGTGTGCAACGCTAATCGTTGAAAATCACCCACGATGCTCTACACGAGGGTCCGCGTGTACTTGATATTGCGCGTGTGCTAGAGTCTTTACGTTGGTGCACGTGTCTGCAAGTCTGGCTTCGGCCGTGGCAGCTGGGGCACCACATCGGCGACTCACCATTTCATGCCGTGTTGCAGGACACGACGCTCGCTCCAGGGTCACCCCCATCGGCAACGGTCGGTACGTCCCGCCGTTCCTGGCTGAGGCCACCTGCTCGTGCCCACTCCGCCAGGAGGCCCTGCCGCCCCGGGTTGTCCACGCCCGCCCCCGCCCACCCGCCGCTAGGGGATGCCACGGCGCGCTGCCCCACCCCTCCAGCACGGAGACCTCGCCCGCCTCCTACTTGCTGCGGCTGCCCCGAGGGAGCTCGACGACTTCGCGCTCCCCCTCGGTGACCTGAGCAACGCAGGCGACGATCCTCAGGCCCTTCCTGGCCGCTGGGCCCCGTGGAACTCCCTGGGCCACGCGCTCCGCAGAGCCGGTTCAGGACGAGTTCCAGATCACCACAGCTGAGTTCGCCGACGTCCATGCGTGCGCAGGGGTTCTCCCTAGAGCTGGTTCCCCGCTTGGTGAGATTCGCCCCAGGTGCCTGGCTCGTCACCAACCCCGACGACCTGCGAGCGCTCGCCCTCCCAGACCGGCAGGACAGCCCCGAGCAGCGCGCCATCGATGCCTTGCGGTAGGGGCTCAACCACAAGAAACCTTCCACAAGAAACCCAATCTGGAGACCCCAGGACGCCCATCGATTCTTGGTGTGGGAACGTCACGCCTTCCACGGCAAAACCATCGAAAGCCAAGAAACCCAGGGCACCCTAGAGGCAAGCAGGGTGTTTCTTGGCATGGGCCCCCGCGGTAGGAGAGGACGGCACCCTGGGGCAAGTCTGAGGCGGAAGGGCGACACCCGCTGACGGCACAAAGTCGGGCGCACCCTCAGAGGGGGAGTTAGGTCCGACATGGTCAAAGCCGACATGGCCAAAGGGGGGTGGAGGAGGAGGAGGAGGAGGAGGAGGAGAAGGAGGAGAAGGAGGAGGATAAGCCGGCCCCCGCCCCCGCATCGTAGACCTACCACGACATGCTCTGACAACAATCGGGGGCGCGCACACACGGATCGGGGGAGGTGCCCTCCCCGAAATGCGGCCATCTTGGAACACTTTAGCCCGCTCTTGTTGTTCTACTGAAGCATTGGGTCGAACAGATCAGCAAGTCAACACCATGACATAATCATGGATTAGCGATCCATGGATTAGCGATCCATGGATTTGGCGCGCGGTCGCCAAATCCATGCATCGGGAGGGGGGGGCCTTCCCCAAAACGCGGCCGGCGCCGCCTCGCTCGGCGGCGGAAATCCGCGATGCCCGCTGGCAAGGGGACCTGGTGCTGACCCGCGCCCTGGTGCGATCCATGTTTGCGATCGCCTGAAGCAAGAGAGTGTTCTGACGACAACCAGGCACCAGTGGCTGCTGCCCGGTCTGCCCTGGTGGGGAGCCACGCACGCGGGGTGGCCGGGCCTCCCGCGAAGGCCACACAGAGGCGCCCGCAGGCGGCCCCGCCCCCTGTGGGCTCCGCTGGTCCCCGGCTGCGCGGCCCTCGTGCCTCCTCCTCCTCCTCCTCCTCCTCCTCCTCCTCCTCCTCCTCCTCCTCCTGATTATCCTGCTCCTCCTCCTCCCCCCCCTCCTCCTCCTCCTCCTCCTCCTCCTCCCCCTCGCTGAGGGGGATCCGAGGCCTCCTCCTCGCGCTGGCGGCGTCAACGACCCTCCCGCCCTGGCCAGGCAGGCGCCGACAGGCTGCCGGAATTCCTCGCTCTCAGCGCGGCCCTCCGAGATGCGGCCCGCGGTCTCGTTGGCCTCAGCCAGGGCGGTGGGACACCGTCCCTGGGTGGCCTGCAAGTTCTCGCCATCAGCGCGGCCCTCCGAGAGATGGCCCGCGGCCTCGTCGTTGGCCTCACCCCGGGCGGTGGGCACCCGCCCTGGTTGGCCTACTGCGCAGCCCGCTGAACCAGACCCTGCAAGGCCCACAACGATCCGGCGTCCTGGACGAGCGAGCTGCGCAAGGCCGTCCTCCTCCCAACGTTGGAAAGACCTGGGGTAATTACTCCTCCCTCTGGCCCTCCGGGGTTCCCGCCAGCTGGATCCTGGTCACCCAGCCGGACACCAGCCCACCGCGGCACGACCAGAGGCGCGTCTTCTTCCGCCCGAGCCCCCCGTGGCAGGCTGGCTCTGCCGACGGCCAGCAAGGACGAGGGCGCGGAAGGGGACACCGGCCAGTCTGCTGCCCGTGCCCCCGCCCCCGACGGCAGTGCCGACCGCGACGATGACGACCCTCCCTCCGACACCGACGAAGACTCCAGCCCTGCCTCAGCCGAGGGCGGCGATGACCCCCCCGGGCGATCCCGACTCCCACGCCAGCGGCGTCCTGCCCCCCGCCCGCGCCCGCCCACCCTCGGGCAACGGCTCCTGCGACGGGCCCGAGACCGAACAGGAGCTGCATGACCTCAACCGCAAGCTCCACCTGCTGGGGCAGGGGGCCATGTACTGCTACGGCCAGAGCCGTGGCCGCCCCTACCGCCCCCACTGGAATCGGTTCCTGAAGAAGCACTGCCCCGACCAGGCAGGGTCACGTGACGACGTCCCCAACTGCCCACGCGACGCCCTCCTCGGCCTCCTGGGAGCCATCCTCGACGAGGTAGGCTCTCTCCCTCCTCCCGCCCGCCCGAAGACCGCCGGCCCCGCTTGAGAGGGCCCACCCTTCACCGCGGGCCAGGGGCCCCAATCCAGCTCCCCAGGTACACCACGCAGGGACGGGAGCATGCTTCCCTCGGCAGCCCAGCGATAGCTGCGAGGGGAGGCCAGGGACAGGACAGCCGGCTGGCGATGATGATGTCATGTCAATGCTGGTGAGGACGGGCGACGGCGGCGACTGCGACGGCGACGGCGACGGCGACGGCGATGACGAGGTGGCGGGGACGACGGACGGCAACGCGCGGTCCGCGCGCAGGCGGAGAGACACCTCATCAAGGAGTTCCACCACATCTTGGTCGGCCCTTGCAGAGCTCACGGCTCCGGCCTGCAGTTGATAGCCACTGGCGTCGGGGTGGAGCTTCCGTCGGGGGGCCCCAAACGGGGTGGTGACCACACCGTGCGGTGAGTCTATGGGGGTTCGCGGTCACCGCACGGTTTTGGGACCCGAGGCGTTCTCCGAGGACGTCTCGGGCGACAGGGGCCTCCGGGGTCCACGGACCGTGCGGTGAGGTCTTGGGGGATTTCGAGGTCACCGCACGGTCCGTCACCGCACCGTTTGGGGACTCCAAGCTCCGGGCTGGGACGCGCGCAGCGGGGGGTCAGCGCCAGCACAGGGGGGAGCGGGGTCGGCCATGATCCCCTCTGGCCTTCCTGGGCCTGGGAGCCACTCGGGGCCGACCGCCCCCCGCCGAGCCGCGCTGCTGGGTACTCCCCTCGGGGGGCCTCCGGGGGGCCTCGCGAGGGGCGCTCTGGAAGGCGAGGAGGAGGAGTCAGGGAGACAGTCTCGGGGGCGGCAAAGAGGGGGGTGATGACTAGGGGGGGGGATTTCATGGCGCGGGCCATGATGTTCTCTCAGATTTCATGGCGCCTCTTCTTATTTCATTACGTCCCTGGCCCCCCCCTTGGGCCGCGCACATGCCGCCGGCCATGATTTGCACCCCCTCCTCTTGGACACTCCCCTCTTGGCCGCCCCCGACAGTTGTCGGGCTGGGAGGATGGGGCTGGGAGAGATGAGGATATCATTACCCGTAGGCGGTCAAAGGTACCGTGCATTGCATCCGAATGCTGTTGCTAACACCCTGCATCCTCCCAACACGACATAGTTCTCCTCGAGGAGGAGGATCAGGAGTGAGGAGCATGGCGGGGGAGGGGAACAGAGGGAGGACGGCAACGGCGCGGAAAGAGTCGAGATCCAGAGAGGTGTCCCTCGCTGGGGGGGGGGAGAGCGCCACTCGGAACGACGTGGGCAAGCCGCCATCTGCTGACCTGGGCGTGGGAGCCACTGCTCGCAGGCGACGTTTCTATCCCAACCCCCGACTTTTCGACGAAAAGGTCCGTAGACGCGCTAACAGTGTGTTAGCTAACGGCGAAGTGGGACAACCAATTGTAGGAAGGTGTGATTCGTGGCCAAAGCAATTGTAGGAACGCGTGGATCGTGTTTGCCTACAACTCGCTGTGTCGTCTTCGTTCGATATTTTCGCATATCTGAAATGTAGGAAACGGTGTTTCGTGATTTCCTACATTTTGTTTTGCGTGAGCTCGGTGTCACAAGCACCGCATTCCCAGCCGCACCGTTATCAGCACGGCCTTGGAAAGTCAGCCGTTCAGAAAGGGAGTGACACCCTGGGTACACCCCATTCGGGCGCACCCCCGTAGAGCATGGACGCCCCCCCCCTCCATTATCCCAGGGTTGGGCCCCAACTTTTTGGTCCAGACGAAAAACACCACGAAACCTGGGATAGGGGTCGACAGATCCCCTGTTAACTGCTTGGCCGGGCCCGCGTTCGCGGCGCGGCGCTGAATGGCCCGTGTTTCAGCGCCGGCCTGGGCCAGCGCGGCCAGCCCCCGATTGGAAGCGGGGCTCGACGAAGAAACAGTTGCATAACCATAGATTTTCAGAGCTCCGCGCGAATGTCTCGGATTGGCGCTGGAGCCCCCTGGCGGCGCCTCTGGCGCCGCTCCGGTGCGCTCTGCGCTCTCCGCGCCGCTAACCTGGGCGCCGCCGTCGCGTTTTTGGCCTCCTCCGCCCAGGGGGCCCCCTACCCATTGGTCTTATGATGTTCCAACCTACTTTAGCCTTGATCACCAGACAGAATTTCGAGCGCCAGAAAAAAGTGCCGAAACTCAAGGGTTTTCACGTGTCGGGCCCTGGGGGACACCTGCCCGACACCGTTTCGACACTGTTTCGACACTCTTTTGACACTTCTCTGGGTGCTCGAAATTATTTCTGGGATGTGGTCTTTAAGTCGTATGGGAATAACATAACATTGGTCGTTGAAAGCAGGTATTTCTGGATTCCCAGATCCCAGATCTACTTTAGGCGCCTTCCTACTTCAATTGTCGAGTGGCTTCACAGTCACCTTTTCCTTTCTCTTTAGGGGGCGGACGGAAACCCAATCTATTTTCAACGCTTTCCTGCTTCATGCTTCTATTTACTTCTTCTGACCGATGGGTAGCATCCTGGTTCGCTCCAGGCGCCCAACTGCCTGCACTCCCCTCTGGCGGCCGATTTCGTGTCGGCCGCAACTCCAGGTGTCGTCGCGGGCGGGAGGGGGCGTTTGGGGAGCGCTCGCTGCTGCTCCTCCGGCGGGAGCGGCAGCTGGAAAAAGGAGGACTCCCCAAGCCTTCGAGGAAGTCCCAGAGCCTGCTCCCATCCTCCGCCATGTGAAGGAAAGGATCTACCCATCGGTCCTTGGAAGTAGGTATTGTTGGATTCCCAGGTTCCAATCTAAGTTAAGCGCCTTCCTACTTCAATGGTCGAGTGGCTTCACCTTTTCCGTCCTCTTGAGGGGGCGGGCGGACACCCAATGTATTTTCAATTCTTTCACACTTCAGGTTCCTGCCCGCGTCTTCCGACCGATGCGTACAGTCGGACCGAGGCATCAGATCGAGTGAGATCGAGGTCGGTGCGGGGAGGGTACGTGTTAAGACAAGGCATTGTGCACCCTGGGGTGGAGGTGCCCCTGGACGTTCTCTGTGCGTGTGTTGGCCGGCGGAGGGCCCCGTGCTCTCGAGGGATGTGCTTCTGGCCGAGGTCCGAGCGTGGGCCTCCCAGAGGGGGCCGAAGCAGATAGTCAGAGCCCCGAATCATCAGGGGTAACTCGGGTCAGGGTCAAGTCGGGTTCGTTTTTCGGGAATCCGAACCCGAGTTACCCCGGACCCGAGCTACCCCGGATATCTCGGGCGTCCAGAGCCCCGAATCATCGGGGGTAACTCGGGTCAGGGCTAACTCGGGTTCCCTTCTCGGGAATCCGAACCCGAGTTACCCCGGACCCGAGCTACCCCGGATAACTCGGGCGCCCAAGAGAGGGGTCGGAGGATGGCGCCGCAGCGGCGGTGCCTCCCCGATGCGGCTCGGTGCGGAGCCCGAGCTTCTCCACACCGACGTCGCCGACGCGTTGCCGCTGCATCGGCGATGCATCGGAAATCTGCGGCGCGGTCTTCCGACCTCATCGAGTCCAACCACAGCTCGAAGTTGGGCATGTCCCTCTACATCAGGAAAGCTCAAAAAAATAGTCAAGGATTTGTCTGTGGACGATGTTTATGCTTATTTTTTACTAGTTTGGAGTATGGGTTGACTATTTATGACTTTTCTTCCACAATCCGCCTGTAGGAGGACATGCCCGATCTAACCCTAGCTGTGAGGCACTTGGGAAAAGGAGGGGCCTTGTTAGAAACGCGCGCGGCACAGGTCCGAGGTCCGCCACAAAAGATTGTACACAGATGCCCTCCAATGGAGAATTCCTGGGCCTCAGGGGAGGGTGGCGGCGTATGAAGAAACATTGGGAGCCAGCGATAATAGATCATGCACCGCCGCACTCCCTGAAGGTACTTGCAAAATTCGTCGGAGGGCGTCTTTGTATATCGGAGTGAGGGGGCCGAACGGTCATTCACTGTCCCTGGGTGCGTGAATGCCGTGGGATTCTGCGATGCGGATTATTTTTGTTGTCGTTGTCGTTGTCGTCGTCGTCGTCGTTGTTGTTGTCGTTGTTGGTTGTTGTGGTTGTCGTTGGTGTTGATGTTGTTGCTGTTGCTGTTGCTGCTGTTGTTGTTGCTGGTGTTGTTGTGGTTGTTGTTGGTGTTGATGTTGTTGTTGTTGCTGTTGCTGTTGTTGTTGTTGTTGTTGGTGTTGTTGGTGTTGTTGGTGTTGCTGTTGCTGCTGCTGCTGTTGTTGTTGTTGCAGATGGTGCTGATGTTGTTGTTGTTGCTGATGCTGCTGTTGCTGTTGTGATTGTGGTTGTTGTTGTTGATGTTGTTGGTGTTGTTGGTGTTGTTGTTGTTGCTGTTGTTGTTGCTGTTGTTGTTGTTAGTGTTGTTGTTGTTGTTGTTGTTGTTGGTGGTGTTGTTGTTGTTGTTGGTGGTGGTGTTGTTGTTATGTTTGTTGGTGTTGTTGTTGGTGGTGTTGTTGCTGTTGTTGTTGCTGTGGTTGTGGTTGTTGTTGTTGTTGGTGGTGGTGCTGTTGTTGTTGTTGTTGTTGTTGTTGTTGTTGTTGTTGAAGTTGTTGTTGTTGTTGTTGTTGTTGTTGTTGTTGTTGTTGTTGTTGTTGACGTTGACGTTGACGTTGACGTTGACGTTGTTGTTGTTGTTGTTGTTGTTGTTGTTGTTGGTGTTGTTGTTGTTGTTGTTGGTGTTGTTGTTGTTGACGAAAACACTCACTGGCGCCCGGCCGACCCCCCCCCCAGCAGCAGCAACAGAGCAACACAGGAGAACCTCGAGAGCGTTTTGGGCTTCCTGGAGGGCCTCTACCGCCTCCTGGAGCGCCTCTAGGGCCTCCTGGGGAGCCTGTGGGACCTCCTGGCGAGTGTCTCGGGCTTCATGGAGAGCGTCTTGGGCCTCCTTGAGCGCGTCTTGGGCCTCCTGGAGCGCCTCTGTGGCCTCCTGGAGCGCGTCTTGGGCCTCCTGGAGCGACTCTGGGGCCTCCTGGAGAGCGTTTTGGCCTTCCTGGAACGCCTCTGGCGCCTCCTGGAGCGCCTCTGAGGCCTCCTGGGGAGCCTCTGGGGCCTCCTGGAGAGCGTCTTGGGCTTCCTGGCGAGCGTTTTGGGCCTCCTGGAGCGCGTCTTGGGCCTCCTGGAGCGCCTCTGAGGCCTCCTGGAGCGCCTCTGGGGCCTCCTGAGGAGCCTCTTGGGCCTCCTCCTGATGATGGCGAGGATGATGACGAGGTCGGAGGTCTCTTGGTAGGACTCCTACGAGGACTCCTACAAGGATTCCTACGAGGATTCCTAGTTGGACTACTGGGAGTCCTACGAGGATTCTCAGTAGGACTACTCGGACTCCTACGAGGACTCTTAGTAGGAC